TGTCCGTTGGTGCCCAGTTGGCCAGTGCCTCCAGCATGTCTCTGAGTGGGCGGCCGTCTTGGGCTTCTCCAGCTGAGAGCGTTAACAAGGGTGCAGAGGAGAACCTTTTGTCGTGGAAGTTCTGGCAGTCTGTGAGGGAATTCTAGCAGCATTGGGGGAGAGTTCTTTTGCGAGGACCATGGCTCTGTGTCTGATGTCCTTCCTCGAGGAACGTTAAAACTTGAGTTTCAAGAAGTCAGAAATGTGCTTTAATTTATAAAAGTTCAGCTCTTACAATGAAAATCACAGGGGACCAAAAGCTTGGCACTGAGCAAACAAAATGCGGTATGTCCACAAAAGAGAATGATTTATCCAATGCGTGCTACAGAGAAGTGACCCTAGAGAAATAAGAGCATGTACACATCCACGTGCATGTGTCCAGTAGCAAACCATAGAGAAAGACGTAGGCTGGTTGAGAGTAGCGGGCAGTCCTCGGGATTGAGCCCAGGGCCTCACACATAGGGGCAAGCACTCGGCCACTGAGCCACATTCCTAGTCCTCTTCTTTCAGTTTTGATTCAGGGCCTCACTAAATTGCTCAGGTTGGTCTTAACCTGCAATTCTTTTCCTCGGCTGTCCAAAGGTTGGGATTATGGGCTTGTCCCATCCCTGAGATGGATCCAGAATATTCTGGATAGTGGCGATGGTCCCACAACATACTAACGACTAAGTACATGATGAGATGATGACTTGGCCAGCATGTGCAAGGCCATGAGTTTGATTCTCAGCACCACAAAAGCAGCGGCGTGTTGAGACTTAGCAGATCCTGTTGCCTCGTTCAGTAACCAGAGAACTGAGCATACAGTGGAGGGGGGTTAAGAATGCCTTAAACACATTCAGCCAATCACGCACTTACAGGCACTGGGCATATGAAAACAGGGTGCAGTCTTGGTGGCTCACGGTTGCCCTTGCCTAGACACACACGTTCCTTAGAGGAAGCAGTCACCTGCAGATCACGAGGCTCGCCAGCGTGCACAGATGGTGGAGCGTGGTGGCTGAGATGGGTGGCAGAACTGAGGCGGGTGGGCAGCTGCCCCGTGCCTGGAGGGAAGCCCACACATCCCGTCCCTGGGACTCCGAGTTCCCGCACAGCGCTGACCGAGTGGCCCGATCACCAGTCATCTTGTCCTCAGGCTCAGGGACGGATCTTTGGGAAGCTGAAGGAAGAAAACTTCTTTAACCCCAAAGAAGAGGTGAAGCTGGAAGCCCACATCCGTGTTCCCTCGTCCACAGCCGGCCGCGTGATCGGCAAAGGGGGGAAAACCGTAAGCTGGCTCCCGACTCCCTTCACCTGGATGAGTTCCCTGCCCTGGCCATGCCCGGTTCCCCTCAGACCCTCACTCGCTCCTTTGCTCGCTCTCAGCATGTCTGAGGGCCTTGGGCTGACACGCTTGGGCTCCGGCACGTGCAGGATGCATGAGGCATGGGGATTCCAAGGACAGAAAGGTGATCCGCAGGGATCTAGCACTAAGGGCCCAGTTCCATGGTGTCAAGCCCACCCTCTTCCTGAGCACTATGCCACCCAGCCCTGTTTATATCCCAAGACAAGAAGGCCATCTCCCATCCCACCCTCCCCTGCCCTCACATCCACATGTAGCAGATAGAACCCGTTGGAGACCCCTCTCTGTCTGGTTTCCAAGTTCGGAGGCTGCAGCTGCCCTGTGCTCTCTCTGACGACAGTCTCCAGGGGCCTCTCACTCCCTACTGCACATCCCTTTTCCGGTTCTTTCTCAAGTCTGGCCGTCTGCTCTAGGGGAGTTAGCTCAGCAATAGGGTGAGAAAGTGTAGTTTATGTGTCCAGTCTGAAGGTCTCAGTAACACACGTCAGCTGGATTGCGGAGCTGGAGGCATAATTCAGCGATAGAGCATGCACTTAGCAAGTATGGGACCCTGGGGTCAACCTTCAGCCACCCCCCCCCCCGAGAAAAGAATATTGATCCCTAGACATCAATCAATAGGTTATCTGTGGACACAAGAATATGGCTTTCTCACTTGGTGAGGAGGTGACTGGAGCAGTTCTGGGCCTGTGATGATGAAGTGACGTTGAGTGGCAGGAACTGGGGTCGGGGAGCGCAGGTTCTAGACGTGGTGAGTCATGCACAAGAGAATGTAGTTGGCTAGGATCCACAAGTGCAGTCCAAACCCCAGGTACACACACTGACCGCTCGACAGACTTGAAGTGTTGGAGACCGTCTCGGAAGCGGTCACTGAATCCTCTCTCTCCCCAGCTGTGGGTGGCCGCCCCTCTGAGCCCCTCACCCTGCCTGTGAGCTGAGCATCAATGCCAAGGGCCAGGGCAGGTAGAACCCAGCCAAACGGAGAGTGGAGGATAGAAGTGCATGGTCATCCTCGCCTATAGAGCAAGTTCAAGGCCAACCTTGGCCCAAAGGGAGCAGAGGGGGAAAAGGAAGGAAAGAAGGGGGGGTGGTGAGGAGAGGGAGGAGATGGAAGTGGCTGGGTTTATTCTGAGTCAGAGGAGGCCATAGCTCCTGGCCAGCAGCCAGGGAAGCAGGTCCAGAAGTGGGCCACTGACCTGGGCTCTTACTAGAAGTCCGCACGAGTGTCTGCAGAATGGGAGCATTCAGCCTGAGAGGCAGAGCCTCGTGGAGTTAGGGCTACACCCCCATTTCTCTGTCAGTCAAACCTACAGGAGCTGAGGCAGGAGAAGGAAAGGGGGGGGCGGTTAGCTTCTCCGTCCACAGCCCAAGTATCAGCTTCATGGGTGACCGGGGTGGGCGGGCTGGGGGGCCGGGTGTGTGTGTGTGTTACTCACTCACTTCCTTCTCTGCCTTTCCAGGTCAACGAGCTCCAGAACTTGACAAGCGCAGAAGTTATCGTGCCTCGTGACCAAACCCCAGATGAAAATGAGGAAGTGATCGTCAGGATCATCGGACACTTTTTCGCCAGCCAGGTACTATCCTGTGAGGGCCCTGCCTCCTGCCCAGCTCCTCCCACTAGTTCACGTACTGTATTTGTGTCGAGTGGCCGTGTGCTTTAAGCCCCTCCTGACCACCACACAGCAGGCACGGTGGAAGCCCTCCCTGGCCCCTGACCTCGGGGACTGGAAACGGTTGGTGCAAGGCTCCTAGCATGATGCGCTGGGGTCGGGAGCTTAGCGTCGCTTGCTCTCCCAGCCTTCCTCTGAGGAGCCGCATGTCCAGCCAGCCCCCAGCAGAGCAGCCAGGTGGCCACGTTTCACTGTGGAAAGGGACTACTCACCAAGGTGTTGTGACGAGGGAGGCCTTGGCGGGTTGGGCCAAGGTGCCCTGGTGGGTGAGGGAGACCGGCCATGCAGATGTGTGGAGAGGTGGAGAGTTTAATCTCAGCATCCAGACACAGATGTCCACGTGGAAAGTTTGTTATTAAAGGGGGAGAGAGAGAGCGCGAAAGAGGGAGGTGCACTCTACCTCTGGCATGAGTCAGGAGAGACAATGAAGGGGGAGTTTTTTCTTAAAGAGGACTTTACATAAGACGACATCAGGAC